ACTGGCAAGGCTGGTGTTGAGACACAAGACTGGCAAGGCTGCTGTTGAGACACAAGACTGGCAAGGCTGGTGTTGAGACACAAGACTGGCAAGGCTGGTGTTGAGACACAAGACTGGCAAGGCTGGTGTTGAGACACAAGACTGGCAAGGCTGATGTTGAGACACAAGACTGGTGTTGAGACACAAGACTGGCAAGGCTGGAGATGAAACAAAGTGAATCTTAAAGACTGGTGTTGCCACTCACAACTGTCAAGAGGATTCAGTCACTTTGAAAGGGTTGTTCACTTCCAGGATGGAGGAGATATTTTGGGTTGGCAGACGTGGAACTGTTGCCAGATGATATTGAGGCCAGAGACTGAAGAGGGATACAAGCCACGAGAGTGACCTACGTGCTAAACCATCTCTACCGAGGGAAGTAAAGGTCATGTACACTGAGAGGCGCATATATCAGTGAATAAACATCTTTACTGAGGGAAGTAAAGGTCATGTACACTGAGAGGCGTATATATCAGTGAATAAACATCTTTACTGAGGGAAGTAAAGGTCATGTACACTGAGAGGCGTATATATCAGTGAATAAACATCTTTACTGAGGGAAGTAAAGGTCATGTACACTGAGAGGCGTATATCCCAATGAACAGACATCTCTATTGAGGGAAGTAAAGGTCAGCTACACTGAAAGGCATATATCTCAGTGAATAAACATTGAGAGGCGTACATCTCTGTGTATATACACCAGGCGTTTAAATTAGTGTATAAACACTGAGAGATATATATCTCTGTGCATACATCATGCGTTTATATTAGTGTATAAACACCGTGAGGTGTATATCTCAGTGTATATGCGCCAAGAGGTGTTTATACCAGCGTATAAACACTTAGAAATTTAGATAAGTAAATAACACGCACATAGGAGAATGAAAGCCTATGCAGAGTAGCATTTATATATTCACTACTTTTCTCACCATGCTCCCTCTGTCAAGAAAAGTGTTCTTATTTTTCTCTTTTTCCTCGCCTCCGCATTTGTGACCCACAGTTTTTTTGACTCGTTATTCGTTTTCTATCCTTGGCTACCCTTACGATTTCATAAACTCTGCCTTCTCACGTGCTGAACGGTCTTTCTTTCCTCCCAAACTCTCTACTCATGTGAAATCGCTACAATAACACCCTTCGTAGTAATCTAGTTTGTACCTCTCTTCCTGCTACAGATGCTTCCGGAGTCTATTGCATTTCTTGCTCCTCTCCAAGAGTAAGGAGAAACTGGTCGCTCTTTCTGACAGACTTACAGAGCACAAAAGATTTGCCGACACTCTCATCCTACTGACTAGTCCTCTTCTGCCAAAACTGTCTACCCTTCTTTTAGCCTTCACAGACACCGTCCTGTTGAAGCATCCCTTATATACAACTTTCTTAATATGACTCTTAGTCTTGGCTTTGTCTCTGCAAGTGCCTTCCCATTACATTGCTAAATACTCCAAATTTCAGGACACTCGTAACTTGACCTGATGGAACTATGGAAATATTTTCACTGTGTCGGTATTCTATACCATTTATTTCCAACTTGACCTGATCTTTGTCTCCCCCTTACCTCTTCGCCTTTCCTATATTTTTTGTGCCTTACCGCTTTTCTGCCTAGGTGAGTTCTGCCCTATGAGTTACCTCCCCAGGTTTTTGTCCTACCCTCGTGGGTCATTATCTGTCCTATAAATGCTCATTTTTTCTTTTTCTCTTGTTTACCTGGAGTTTACCTGGAGAGAGTTCCGGGGGTCAACGCCCCCGCGGCCCGGTCTGTGACCAGGCCTCCTGGTGGATCAGAGCCTGATCAACCAGGCTGTTACTGCTGGCTGCACGCAAACCAACGTACGAGCCACAGCCCGGCTGGTCAGGAACCGACTTTAGGTGCTTGTCCAGTGCCAGCTTGAAGACTGCCAGGGGTCTGTTGGTAATCCCCCTTATGTATGCTGGGAGGCAGTTGAACAGTCTCTGGCCCCTGACACTTATTGTATGGTCTCTTAACGTGCTAGTGACACCCCTGCTTTTCATTGGGGGGATGTTGCATCGTCTGCCAAGTCTTTTGCTTTCGTAGTGAGTGATTTTCGTGTGCAAGTTCGGTACTAGTCCCTCTAGGATTTTCCAGGTGTATATAATCATGTATCTCTCCCGCCTGCGTTCCAGGGAATACAGGTTTAGGAACCTCAAGCGCTCCCAGTAATTGAGGTGTTTTATCTCCGTTATGCGCGCCGTGAAGGTTCTCTGTACATTTTCTAGGTCAGCAATTTCACCTGCCTTGAAAGGTGCTGTTAGTGTGCAGCAATATTCCAGCCTAGATAGAACAAGTGACCTGATTATATAAAATATGAAAAATAGAAAAAAAGGTATATCGGTATACCGCAGTCCTTAGACAGCATCCACTACTATTACTGTTGTTTCGCTAACACTGCACATTGACTCTTGTCTTACTACTACTACTACTACCACCATCTCGTTACCACAGTTGCAC